CAGCTAGAGCTGTACTGTACTGATGACAGCTGAGCTAGAAACACGTGTCTGCAGTTTACATTTATTTTTTGACTGCTTTGAATATATGTACTTGCGAGGAGAGAACTGAAAAACAGCTACAACAAATACAAAAAAGCAAGAACCGGCTCAAAACAACTACAGGCTACTCACTAGACTATGTCCGTTAAGAGGACACCTGAACAAGAGGGGACACTGCAACGGAGACCTTAGCTGCAAGCAATGCAACAAAGGAACTGAAACAGCTCATCAAATTCAATGCGACTACACGGAACTGGATCATACAAGACAAACAATTTATGTACAACCCAAATTATGTCCTCGAGAATATAACAGTACAGGGAACAAATTTGTTGAAATGGGTACCATGAAAAAGATATGGGGGAACACAATAAACCATGAGGTTGCGATGTTTTCCCAGTCGACACCCCAAGCATATGAGGGTGTCGACTCCTTCACAACGGAATTGGCAGCCTCATTGCCTTCCAGGTCAGTATGGTCAGGAATCCAGACCAAAGACAATCTGTTAAGTCTTCCTCTTTGGCAATTTGCTACCAATTTAAACGTTGCTCTGTGGGAGCCAAGAGCTTCCAACGCCGCTTGAATGTCCGAGAATATTTCTATTGACTTGTGTGTGAGGTTGGATTCTACTAATCCATCCGCACACAATTCAATAGCACAGATTTCCGCTTGAAATACAGTCGCATAGGTTCCTAGGCAGAACCGGAAGGTGTGTTTGATCCATATGTGAACCTACAACTATATATTTCTCTTAATACTTCCTTCTCCCGGAGAATGCAGTCCTCTCTGCTCGGGAACAGTACTTTATAAGGCAATTCGTAGTTGACAGTTGGTGGCATAAAGTCAGAGGTCATTTTCAGAATGCTGTGACTTTCAGTGTCGACGAACAGTCTGTTGCACTCTGCATTAAATTGATTTGTGCAATTGGCAATGTGCACAAGTCTATATGCAGTCCATCTAGCCTCTCTCTCCAGAAAAATGTGGAGAGGCGGTAGATCTAGAAGCATCTCCATGGCCGCTGATGGTGTGGTTCTGATGGCACTACTGATGACCAGACATACCTGTTTAACTAATTTCTTCTGAATATTTTTTTTCGATTTGAAAAGACGAAGTAATGAAAACTAAATGACGTGGCTACTGATCCCAACAGCCAGCCTCAATGAGGATTTGCCTTTATCCCCATCTTAAGTGTTCTGGTCAATTTCATAAAATTAAGTCATCGCTTTATTAATTAATCTGAAAATATATGATACGTTATATTCCATAACCGGACGATAATAACAACTATTTTTGTGGTATAAAAGATTCAAAACCATAGAAACTTTACAACTATCAAACGTAGTGATACGTCATCATTTGCCGAAGACTTGATATGAGACATATTAATGGAGTTCAATATTTTATCAAATATTTGGATATGGAATGGAATGGATATGCGGATATGGAATATATGGATATGTATACACGAACATCCAATAACAAACGTCATAAGAAGATGTGAGCTTTTGATGATAGAAGGGCTAGAATTTCAGCCTTCTAGAAATTGAAAAAATATTGGGAACATTCTGGAATGTTTGTCTGTGTGTTTATCCGTGCCGCAAAGATGTATGACTTCAAAGCCCACTCATTGCCACTAACAGAACCTTCGAAATAACTCTCACCCTCTCATGGTATAAAGCTTTGTCGTGGTCAAATCGGGTTCTGCCGTGATGGACTGCCTTTTCCTACTAGTCATGAAACCCTCTACAGACCATGCATCCGACCCTAAGACTACAGAGGAGATGGACGTCGACTCAATGATTGCAACTGTTCTCCTTTTCAGTTCCTCAAATATTGATATTGTTAACTTACTCCAGGAGGCTGAGAAATGCAGCCTGGAAGCGACTTATCGCCTCCTCAAATGCACGATATCTGCCCTGATGCACATCCTGCTTTTGAGTAGCAAAAGCAGGATGTGCATCAGGGCAGGTCAGCAAACCCTTACGGTCAAATAATGATTCACCCAAACTAGGGGTAGGTATAGGTGACACAAATTCTCTCATATACAAAAGTTGCTGAGGCCATTCAGGTGAAAATCTTGCACCTTGAACATCCGACATCCTCAATATCAAAACTTCAACTGGAATCTCTTCAGTATGCCATTTCGACTGCCATAAAGGATATTCCATAATATGGTGCACATGTACGCTTATTCTATATTCCATAATATGGTGCACATGTACGCTTCCAGAGCTGCTCCGCCTCGGACTGAATCCAGTTTTCAGAGTTTGACAATCCTACTCTTGACAACTGACCTCAAAGATCGATCACCAAAAAGAGTGATTAGCCTCGTTGAAAACAAAAAAATACCAGTAGAAGCTAACACCTGAGTTTTGAGTCTCCAGTTTCTTCTAAACTAGAACAAGTCGAAACTTTTATGTATTACTGGTTTCTGGAATATGCAACTTTTCTCAGGAACTTCATGTAAGCTTTGAATTAGGAGAAGTAAATGCATTTTCAGTTTGAGGTTGATACCAGATCATTTTTCTTTAACTGACTAGCGATTGAACAACGTGAGAACCGCGAGGCTGGACATAACACTTTAGTTATTGGAAGTTGTCAGACGTGGGAAACCTCACTGTTAATATTCGAGTGGTGCGATATCAGCACATTGTGGTGTGGTAAAAAAGAGGGTAAAAATTGCTCCCATTCGAGTGATTACCAGATCCGTAATAGAATAATTACTTATTGATCATCATTAAATAACTGAAACTTTCGAAGATACAGAAAGAAAACTTTAATTTCACGACTTTGAATTGCTACAAGCAACGGTCCGTATTCAAATTCTCCGGAATTAAAAGAACTACAGTCGATGTTTCGGTACCATTTAACAGTACCTGAAAAAGGCAACAATGCCACAATTCAGTCGACTCTCTATCTCTTACCGTTTGTCAACACATAGACTCAAATTTGAATAGCCCTGTAGAAGATTCCATGTTTTCATTATTCAGAAATTTATCATTCAGAGGGAGTAGTTCATTCAGAAATTTTGCAATACTTGTAGATTGTATAATAACTTGAACATTTAAAGTTCATTTCTTCAGATTTGTTTACTGCCTGTCTTCAAACATAGCCCACTGACTAATAAGAAAGTTTTTCTTCCTTATTCAGAGAAATCGGGCAAATTTCGGATATGCAGTTGGTTAGTACCTTAGCCACTAGACGGAGTGACATTTTTGATGTTCGCTCCAACTCAAGACGAGGAATGAAATACTCTGAAAGAATTTCGATTTTCAATTATGGAATATCATTGACTTCAGGTCGATGATGGTCACTATCTTGCACTGACGAGTGGCTAAGGAGCCCGAAACCGGTCTGCAAGTGTGCCCGTTCCAAAATTGAAGGTCGACTCTTTTAGTTTTATTGCCAATTGCATATGCAAGAAATTTTCTGTGAAGATTCCTGCACTGACGCCTGTCGGATTTAATCCAACGCCTTTCGTGGTATTAGCCAGTGGAGTAGTTGTTTTCCGAGAGGTGTCAGTCCATTCAACCTACTGTGTAGGTACATCCGAGACGGGCTTGAACATTTAAGGTTCATTTCTTTAGATTAATAACTATTAGTCGCCTTGAAATTTTTCTGTTATGAGTGTAATGCCAAATCCTAAAATTAAAAGTAATTTCGAATACTTGCTTCCCTCTTATTCGGGGTCTGTCAAGAGTGTTATGAGGTTCGAAATCTGGCGATATCATAAAGAACTGGAAAAAAATCAGTCATCTCATATTTAACCAATTTCACAAGCATACAAATTTCATCAAGGTGATGATTACTTCTGTCGTAATGTTTTATTTTCATGATATTAATTATTCGATTTGTTTTTTAATAACCGAAATCACAGTAATCTTAAGCACGAATGTTGCTAAGTTTAAATAATTCCACCGATTTTCAAGGAAACAATGATTGCTCAATTTTTATTCAACAAATAACTGGGGATCTCAAAATGAATCAAACTATAAGAATAGTAGTGATATTATTAGTTAATAGTATGTACCTTTTTATACTTAAAAAAATGTTTTATATAGATATCGATGTAGTCAACTTTTGTTTTGTTTAAAAATTAACATATTTGTGAAAAATGGCAGAAAAAATCAATTTCATCAATTCAGCTTGATGAAATTTGGTTCAATATTGCACTATTTTTTTTAAATTTTGTTAAGAATGATATTTCTTTCAATAATTCCAAGAAAATGTCTATCAGGAGAGATGAAGAATGACATTCAGTAGACAAGAACCATATTCAAAGAAGATCCCAATGTTCATTAAATTTTATCATTTCTATAACATAATAATGAAACGGAAACCTAGTAATATACATACATATTTAAGTGACGAATTGTAAACAAACAAGTCAGTAATTACACCACAGACATCATGTATAATTATGAAATGAACTTCGTCTTGTTAAATCATAATACAAGGTGAAGGTGTAATCAAAGTACGCATATAATTGATGACTGAAAAAAAATAATGATCAAGTAAACACAACTGGAAATGTGTGAATTTGAGTCAGCCGTAGATATTTCATTACATGAGAATGAGAAATGAAAAAACTGAAGTTATTTTTATTAAAAATCGACAAAACTGAAGAAACAACATATTTCAATCATCAAGATAATCTCATATTTCAGAATTATCCGCATAG